CATTTGCCTCCTCCACCGAACAGAAGTCCGCGAGGGCAGGGCCAGGCCAGCTCTTACCCATCGCTGATGCCAGCATTAGTGTGACACCTGCTCACTAAGGTTGCTTAAGAGAAGAATGAATGGGGGCACTTGAGTGGCTCAGTCGGTTAAGCATCTGCCTTCGGCTCAGGTCATGATCCCAGGGTCCTGGGATGGAGCCCTATGTTAGGCTCCTTGCTGAGCGGGGATCCTGCTTCTCCCTCTCCTCCATTCTCGTGCTCTCTCACTATCTCTCTCTCTCAAATAAATAAATAAAATCTTTTAAAAAAGAGAGAGAAGAATGAATGATCGAATGAATGAAATCAATTGGAGGGATGCTGGCATTTGCAGACCAGACCTGTGAAAAAAAGATGGTTGTTCATTTATTCCACAGATATTTCCCGTGGAGGAGACAGAGATGAATTAACCGTGGCTTCCCCTTGAGGTAGCTAATAGTGCAGTGTCAGAAGGCCCAGTGGGCTTGACTCCTAAGGAAAGGGAGAAAATGGTCAGAGACCAAAGAGTAGGGGAGGAAGCAGCTGGAGCAGAAAGGAAGGCATCCCGGAGGAGGAGGCACGCGTGCTCACAGGCTGTGTCCGTCCTGGCAACAGGGTGCATGTCCATGGGGAATGGCTCCCCTTCCTTAGTGGCATGGTGATGCCCTGTGGGTGACAGCCCTACTCCACGCGTCACATTCAGATGTCCACAGGGGCAAACTTCACCTTGCCAGCCCTGAGTCTCGCCAAAGCATGAGCCTTGGGCCCAGTGCTTCGAGAGCACAGACTCATCTAAAGGAACTGGCAGTTCAGGTACCGGGACTGAGGGATGTGTACAGTGATTGTTCCTCAGCCCCTCCCGTGGCCCCTTGCTGCGCCCCCAGCAGGACTCAGATCCTCCCCATGGCTTCCTGTGGCCGCTGGGACTGTCTGGTCATCCCCCACCTGCCTCTCCACAGTCTCCTGGGGTCTCTTCCCCTCACTGTCCTGTGCCTATCGTCTCCCTCTCATGTCTAAGCCTTTGTAGGTGGCCTCCTCTGCCTGGCATACCCTTCCCACCCCTACCCTCTTTGCCCGGCTGACCCCTGTCCTCTACTCTCAGTTCAAGCATGATTTTCCTGTGGAAGACTTCTCTCACCCCCCCACCCCCCGTACGGTCACACCTCTCCCTCATTCTCCATACTCCTGTGCACATGATTCTAGACACTCTTTCTACTTGGCAGTAATCACAGTTTGTAGCCACATGTCCGTGTGAGTATTGACGAAAGTGAGCTGCCCTTTCTTGTTTGGGAAGAGGGGCCTGTCTGAGGCATCCCTGTATCCTCTGTTGTTTTTTTCTAAACACCACCTGGTACAGAGTAAACACTTCATCCATGTTTGTCCAATGAGTGATTATGTGGGTAGATGTGTCTCAGCCTCCTCAGGAAATGACCGACATCAGGCGTCTGTGCAGAGTGACAAGGTAGACCTACCGTACCTCCCTCCCAGTGGAGAAAGCAAGTGGGGGTGTTGGAGGGGCCAGGACAGTGGGAGGAATTGTAGGTCAGGGGCACAGGACTGGAGAGGTGGCTCTTTCCAGCTCACGATCCTCTGCTAGGAGTGTCTGGGTCACCATGACAGCCTGGGCCTTCTCCCAGACTTGGCCCATGGCTGCTGTGGTTGATTTTCAGAAAACCAGAGCAGGACGCAGCAAGTCTTCTTCCCAAAAGATGGCTCAGGTCCCCACAGGACTGCCTGTACCTGGAGTACAGGAAGCTGTCCTCAGTGAGCTAGGTTTCCACGGACCCCCCGGTGCATACACTTGAGTTGGCCACGTGCCCTGAGCCTTTACTTAGTGACCAGATGGTGACCTTGCCCGCAGGAGCCCTCAGCAGAGGCACCCTCAGCTTCCTCAGTGGAGGTGAAGGTCTGCCCTTCCAGAACTCTGAGCTGTGCAAAGAGCCTGGCCTGTGAATCCCACAGGAGAGGGATCGAGCCTGAGAACATCTATGGGAGGATGGCCGGGCCAATGTGTCTGATGGAGCAGCCTGAGTGGGAGGGAAGAGGTGGGGAGTGCCCAGCTGGGGGCACAGTGAGATCTTGATGGGAGTCACCAGGGACTGGCTGACAGGAAAGAGCCTTCATTAAGAGTTTGGGGCCTGGCTGGCAGGATGGGGCTGGGGAGTCTAAGTGAAGCTGGTGGACAGAAAGAAGTCTTTTAAGAGTGGGTGTGGGACCGAGGGCAAGGTCATACTTCAGTAGGAGTGACTGGGGCCAGGATGACAGGCCAGGGCAATAGCTGAGGAGAAGAAAGATGAGTGTCCTCCCGTGTGTGTGTGTGTGTGTGTGTGTATCTTTGATAATAGGGTCATTTGGCAGATGCCAGCCAATGGGAGAGCATGGGCAGGGTTCTGAGCTCCTACATTCTACTAGTCTTCAATGCCCTTGTAGGAATGGTCCTCATGGGGATAAGCCATCTTGGATAAGGGGACTCTGAGGATGATGTCCCATGGGCAGGAATAGGGACCAGTCTTGTGGAAGACTCGTGTTGCATGTAGCCAGAGGAGGGGCCCAGACTTTAGGCTGGAGGACATCAGCCAGAGAGACCAGCTTCCCTCGTGGCCCACGTGTTGGGGTATCTGGTCACTGAGGCTGTAGCTTAGCCTATCAAATCCTCTTGGGTCAAAGTGCAGGTGCGATCTGTTTCCTCAGGGAGATTTATGAGCTGCTTCTGAAGGCCTTCCTGTAGAGATACCGGGGTGCTCTGAGCCGCTAGCCTCCATGGAGGACTCTGGAAGGCCAGTATTCCTGGGAACACCCGCAGCTGTTGTCTTTGCTCAACTGTCAGACCCTGCATTGCATCTGCCTCCAGATAGGAGAGTTGGGGAAACAGCCACTTGGGGTAGCATCTCAGTGACATAGCACCCTACTGCTTCAAGCTCCTCGGTTTGATCTCCTTTCTCACACTACGTGATGGATGAGGAATAGGGCAGCCTGTGCTGACAGGTTGGGACAAGGGGGAGAATCAGTCAAGGCCTGCGTGAGGGCACCTGCAGCGAGAGGTCGGATGCCTACTGATCTCCCCCAGGGGCTTCCAAAGGCGAAGACAGAGGTCTAGGTTCCAACAGTGTCTGTGGTCAGCCCTGCATGAGCAGCTGGGTCCTAGAGGGCCCCGGGGGATGAGGGCCCTTGAGGCCATCTCCTTGCTGTCTTTTGCCCTCCTTGCTGTCTTTCATTTTGAACGCTTCAAGCGCAAGACTCACCAAAAATATTTCATCCCATTTCCTTCCTTCCTCCCTCTCTTCCTTCCTTCTTTCCTCCCTCCCTCCCTTCCTTCCTTCCTTCCTTTTTTGATTTCATTTATTTATTTATTTATTTCTTTGAGAAGGGGAGAGAAAGAAAGAGAGAGTGAGCACATACCAGCCGGGGGAGGGAGAAGCAGACTCCCTGCTGAACAGGGAGCCCGATCCCAGGACTGGGATCATGACCTGGGCCAAAGGCAGACGCTTAACCCACTGAGCCACCCAGGTGCCCCCCACCAACATATTTTCTTTTTTATTGGTAACTCATAGAATTTTCTTTGAAATGCAAGCATCACCCCCAGAGCCTGTAACAGCGTGAAGAGCTAACAATACAGAACACACAGAGAATTTAATGCCGTACTTTCTTGGTAATTCACGTTTTTGAGCAGGCAGTAGTACATTGAGAGTTCTGCAGTAAGACAAAACACAAAAAGAAGCGTGCTATGAGGAAGGGCCCTTCACCTCCTGCCTCCAGGAAAGGAAGGATGAGCGCTCTCGATGTTTCTCATGGTGCCTTCCAGAGCTCCTTTGGCGATATATATACAAAAGGCACACAAAGTCTTATTCTCTTCCTTTTTCTCACTCAGAAGCTTATACGTTATACATGCTCTGCTGTAGCTGGTTTATTTTTCATACGACGGTGTATCCTGAAGACCTTTCCATATCGGCTCGCAGCGGGATCCTCGCTTCTTCATGTGGCTGCCCCGCACTCTGCTGTGTGAGCACACCATGACTTATTCAGCCAACCCCTACAAATAAATTCTTGCGTTGTTTCCAGTCTTTTGCTACTAGAACCTTGTACATAGATCACTTCCCTTATGCGCGAGTCCAGTGGTAAAATACATTTTCAGAGGGACAGCGGCTTTATCAAAGGAAATGTGCATTTGTGGTTTTGATAGGCTTTGTCAAATTGTCTATCGTGGGTGTGTGTCCAAAGGGGTCCCACCAGAGTTGTGTGAAGGCTGTTTCCCTACAGCTGTCCCGGTGCAGTGCTTTACCGACTGGTCACGTGGTGTGGTGGCAAGCGTCTTGGGTGAGGGCCTTGGCTCTGGGATGAAACTGGTACCTTCAGGGGGTGGGGACCCTCAGTGCAGAAGAGGCAGTGACTCCTGGCGGTTAAGACTCCCACTCCAGGGGCGCCTCGGCGGCTCAGTTCAACATCCAACTCTTGATTTGGGCTCAGGTCATGATCTCACGGTCTTGGGATCAAGCCCTGAGTCGGTCTCTGTGCTGAGCGGGAGTCTGCTTCTCCTCTCTTTGCGTCCCCTCCCTAGCCCCTGGCCACACGCACTCTTTCGCACACACGTGCGCGCTCTCTCTCAGATAAATAAATCTTTAAAAAAAGACTCCCAGCCAACCTGAGCTCTAGTCCTCAGACAAATTACTTGATCTCTCAGGTCTCAATTTTCTCATCTGCAAAATGGGGGACATGTTATCCACCATGGGATCACTGTGAGTTTCAGATGAGATGATGCATGGGAAAAGGGCTTGGCATGGTGCCTGGCACGTGGCTCTGGGAGGCTGGCTCTGCCCTGGCCGGCACAGTCCCTTGGCTGAGTCCCTGTCTGCTTCGTCTCCTATCAGGGGAGGAACTGGGCACGGGGTTTTCTCAGGCCCTCCTGCCCCAAATCTCACTGTCGGACATGCCTTTCTTCAGCAACTCGTGTAACCTGCACTCCCCCTTCATGTCTCCTGCTCATCCAAGGTATTCAGGAATCTCCAGTGCCCAACGGTCACTCACTGCCGGGCAGAGATTTCCTCCGGAAGCAGATGCGGGGAGACCTGTTCACGCAGCAGCAGCTGGAGGTGCTGGACCGCGTGTTTGAGAGGCAGCACTACTCGGACATCTTCACCACCACGGAGCCCATCAAGCCCGAGCAGGTACGCCCCCCCGCTCACTGCCCGCTAGACCTCCAGCTCGACACAGGCTCGGCTTGCCCTCCCCCCAGGTGTTTGGGAGGGGTGTGGGCGACGATGCCGTGCTCTACTCTGAGGCGGGCTTCTCGTTGTTCTTAGCCAAACTTGCATAGTTGCGGCCTCCCACGGGGTCAGAAGGACTCATCTGGGGTTCTGGAAGCTTCTTGCCTCAATGTCTCAGTCTCCCCAGCCAGCCTGGGGGGGGTGGGGGTGGGGACGGGGACGGTGGCATGCCTGGTGGGGCTATTCTGCCCTGCTGCCGAATGGTGTCCTTTCTCCAGGCTCTTGGCACAGGGGCCGTGTCGTGATCTTTGGGGCCACTCGAGGTGGTCTTGGGTCCTTTTCCTGTCAGTCAGGGTGAAGATGGAAATATGGCCACAAGCCACATTATGGTGGTGCTAGGGTGGGGCCCGCTGTCCGCCCCCAAGCAGGTCACCCTGCTATGCTTTTAGAGACTGAATCCCAGAGCCTGGAAGTGAAGAAGTGTCTCACTGGACACACTCCCGGCTCGGTCATTTGCAAGAGAGGGAGGGACGTAGGAGGATGACCCCTTGCTAGCCCTGGACAGACGCTCAGTTGCTGCCTTGGCTATAGGACCAGAAAGGCTCTGCCCAGTGAGAGGCTTCTGGGGTCTAGATAAGGTGTGTAAGGTACCAGATTCAGCTCGGGAGGCTATTTCCTGATGCCCGGTCTGGGCTGGTTACCTGGCAGGCCCCGGCAGCTCAGATGTAGTTCCTGTCCAGAGAGCTCCCATGTGGTGTGCATGTCAGGTAGACCCCGCTGGTACAGGAGGTGAAGACGGGCCTCATTGGGCTTTCTCTACGTGCTCATTAGATGGCATTTATGAAGTTTTCCCCCAGAGCCATTCAAAGACACATAGGCTGCCTGCACAGTTTCCTGTGGAGAGAGGCCAGAGGGGATGTTGAGGAGTGAGGGGTGAGCAAAGCCTCAAGGCCACCATCCTGTGACAGTCTGGCTGTCTGAGCAGCTCCTATGAGGGCTTTCACAGCCCATGTAGCCACTTTGTTTCCAGGTGGGGAAACTGAGGCCAAGAGAGCCCATGTGGCTCAGCTTTAGGGCACAGAGGCATGGGGAGAAAGGACAGTGATGTTGGGGAGATGGGCCAGACCTTGTAGACTGTGGTTAAGACTTTGGTCTTTCTCCTCTGGGAGCAAGATGGAAAGGAAAACAGTCTTGTTTCCGTCACAGACAGCCCTTCTGAGGGATGGCCCAAGGCACCTTCCATCTGACACAGGAGGAGGAAGAAAAGGAGACTTCCTTGGATGAGGCCTAGCTTTCCTCCAGAGTCAGGGAGAAAATTTGTCTTCAAACCACTGATAAGGTCATGTGATTTTAGAGACAATGGGGACTGTAGAGAAATCTTTCAGCCCCCTCAGCCCCTAGAGGCCCCGAGAAGGGACAGGGTTTGTCTGAGGCTGCCCTGCAAGTGAGAGAGGAAGAGTGAGGGCTCAGACCTCCACACTCAGCCTGGCCTCTACCGCGTGAAGACTTCGGTGCCCGTATTAAGCTCCTGTTAACTTAAAGCAGACATTCAGTATTAGAGACTGGGTTTCCCTCGGTGTTCCACGTGATTCTCAAGGATGCTCAGACTCAGACATGCCTATTTTTCATTTAACTTGGAATACCTGGGAAATCTGGGCAGAGACTACAGGGCTTCATAACTGGGAGGAGTCCAGAAGCCACCCATGGACTTACCCACTTGCTCAGACATTCATATGCTCATTTATCCAACATATTTCTTGCAAGCTGCAATGAGGCTGGCACAGTCCCAGGCACCCAAGAGGTGGAGGGATGTGTCAGGCATCAGCTCTGTCTGTCCACAGCTCCCAGGGGCGATATGATATGGATTTAGAACCTGCAAGGCAAGTGAGAAAGTTCTGTGGGCCCTGATGAGCGGGGAGGTTGCCTCAGTTGGTAGCACGGGGTGTGGGGGAGGAGGGAGATGTTACAGAGGGGACAGGTCTACTAGGCTCATTAAGAGATAGGGCCTGGCAGGGAGGAGACCTGCATTACGGATCCTTCAAGGACCCCGCTCCTAGCAGCCTTGCTGTGTGATGTCCTTCAGCATGGCGTGGACGCGACCGCGGGCCTGTGTCTGTGTGGGCTCCGAAGCAGGGCCTTCAGGCGAGCGTGTGGCAGGGTAATGACTGACTCAATGTTTTCTGGTTAATCTGCTTCACCTTCCCGTAATGTGCAGTAATGAGGAGAGATGGAAGGTGAGACCGCGTGGCTGCCGGGCACACACACGGGCACTGGACTATGAATGACACCCTCGCTCCCGCTTCCCAGTCACCGGACAAATGACAGCCAAAGCGAGGGGCCACAGCCTGGGAAGGGGTGTCTGTCAAGGGTACAAGCTCCTTGAGCCCCCTCATGCCCACTCTCTGCCTGGCCTGGTGGTGACACTAAGAAGGAGGCCTGGAGCTCTGGTGGCCAAGGTGGGGGGGTGTCTCTTCCCTATGTGAGGAGACCTGGGTCTCCACAGTCTAGTGGCCTTGGTGGGGGCTTGCTGTCTGTTTCACTGAGCAGCCTGTGGGGAAGAAGGAGCTTTTCCTGGCCTTGGGGTTGAGGGAGTTTGATTTGAGTCCAGCTGAGTCCCGGCTCTGCCCTGTTGGGAGGAATGTTTTTTCTCTGCAAGTTTCCATACCTGCAGGGGCAGTGATGGAGATTTTGCACAACAGCAGCTGGACAACAATGGTCTTCCTCACCTGTGTGTGGTATGGTGCAGGTCGCAAAGGGCCTTCATGTCCACTCTCTCTTCCTTTGACTCGTGATTTAAATGCCCACTAAACAGTGTGGGTAAGATTGGTAGAGCCCTGTTTTACAGACTGAACATTTTTCCCCCCAAAACTGTTCAACCTGTGGTCAGCCCAGGGAGCTTCCAGGACTTGCAGAGGCCACAGAGCTAGAATTTGATTTCAGGGTCTTCTGTCCTCATCTTGTGCTGGATGGTTGCATGGGCCCCCTTTCAGGAGAAAGATTCTGGGAGCATTTTCTAACTGGCTGGTTCTCAGAACTGGCCTTTTGCTGCCAGAGTCTGTCTGTTATTCCAGAATCCTCAGAGTTTCGCCATGGGCTTAGGTGGTCAAATCCCCTCAATGACCCAGCCCACCCACTCAGGGGAAGAACATTCTTCCTCCAGGCCAGGTGGGAGTCCTGCCAGTCATGCCCACGCCTACCCAGCCGCTCTTTCCACCGAGATCTGCCCTGGGCGGGTCGGCCTGGCTTCTTGCTTTTATATGGGCACTGAGTAAACCCTTGGCCCTGGGTGTCCTGCGTACACACTTCCAGGGCAATCAAACACTTCCCTATCGACGTGGTTATTGAAGAAGCAATTCTGTTTTTCCCACTTGTGGAGGGAGTAAACATCAACCTGAAGAGGGGAAAAAAAAAGAAAAGAAACAAGTGCTGGTGGCGTGCGTGTTTGGAACAGCGGAGTCTGTTTCAGTAAAACTCGCGGTGATGCTGTCGTGGTCGCGCTGCTGGTGGGAGCCGCTCCCTCTCCGGCCTCGGCAGGAAGGCTGAGGCGAGCACAGGCTGCCGTATTTACTCTCGGCAGACTATTAACCAACACCAGGCTATTAATCTGGCTTTTGAGCCTTCACTAAAGCCCATAAAAGCTCACAGTTGTCAAATGGAGTTCATTTTAATTTCCTTTCAATCACAGTAAATTATTCAGGTGATAAATCAGCTGGAGCAGCCTCCTGGCTGTAATAGAAACCCTAATTCCTGGCTAATTATCCAGCCCATTGCTGCCAACAGATCAATACGGGCGCAAAATGGAACCGGCCCAGGGCCCTCCCTCCCATCGGGCCAGAGACAGAAAGACAGCTGGGGAAGGGGACGTACTGCTGACCTCCTGGGAAGTTCAAAGGTCATGGGGGTTAAACTGGGAGAAGGCTTGGCCCTTGTCTAAAAGAGAAAGCCACCAGAAATGCCTCCCGCTTGCTTGTGCTGCTTTGCCCTCTGAATGGTGGCATCTCTCCCGGCTGGTGGGCCTGGGCTGAGCACAGCCTATTCCTGTGGGTGTCCTAGCCCCGGAAAGGGGCTGGTTTGTGGTTTTGAGCATAACTGAGCTTGGTCATCAGGGATGGTCTGAACTCCTACCTGAGTCAGAAAAAGGGCTGGGATGGTGGGGAGAAAGGTGAATTGTGGGGCATGCTTCCTTGCTTCAGGGAGCTCATTTTCCTGGGTAGTGGGTCTGGGCCCAGCAGAAGGAGGTGGGGCAGGAAGAGGAGAGAATGAGGAGGTGAGTGTGAAGTAGGCTGAGGAAGGGGGAAGGCTTCCTGGAGGAGGTGCCCTTTGTGCTGTATCTTGTGGGATGGGCAGAATCCAGATCAGTGGAGATGGTGGAGCTGGCTGGAGGGGCATTCTGGGTGGAAGGAACAATGTGGGCAAAGGTACAGCAGGGAACTGGGAGATGGTCTGGGAGGTTGAGATGTAGGAGGAGTGAAAGGCAGTCAGGGATAGTGGGGCTGGAGAAGTAGGAGGCGAGCAGACCCCAGAGGAACGTGGAGGTGAGGAAGTCTGCCTTCCCCTTTGGGGGTGTGTCCTGAAAAGCTCAGCGTCTGTGGCCTGGACCGTTGTGCTCACCTGGAAGCTTCCTTCATGGGGCCTCCTGCCTTTTGCCCTGTCCCTGTCCTTCCAGTTGGAGCTCTCTTCCTAAAGCCCACCCTCACTTACGGTTTCCCCCCCCCCCCCAGACCTCAGCCCCAGCCCTCCATCCCCGTCACGGCCCTTCACCACTGCCCCCCCCCCCACGCCGGCCCCCGGGATGCTCTGGCTGTGGCCAGGCCTGACCGCTCATGGCCCCTGTGGCCTGGGCCCCTCCTCCGTGTGAGGGGGCTGCGGGCTGCAGGCCGGTGTGTGCGTGTGGCAGAGCGCGTGAACAGCAGGGATGGCTGCAGCCTGCAGGGTGGCAGCTACCGTGGTTACGTGACCGT